AAAGTGCAACTTTGCGCACACAAATGGGTAATGATAAGTGTTACTTTGCGCACACTAGTAGAAAAACTCTAACCGCATGTTGGATTTCGAAAATTTTTGCACTAAAATGTAATGCAATATTTTCTCAAAATATGTTTGACTGGGCTGGGAGCCGGCTCCTAAAATGAATATTTCTGATGGCTCATCACCAAAGACCGGATTTTAGGCTGTTAAAAATTGAAAATTAGGAGACTTAAATAGGCAATAAAAACCTACATTTTAGGCTGTTTTAGGCCTAAAGTGCCAAAAATAGGCCTCAACTGCCTAAAATAGGATTTTAGGCCGTTAAAAATTGGAAATTAGGAGACTTAAATAGGCAATAAAAACCTACATTTTAGGCCGTTTTAGGCCCAAAGTGCCAAAAATAGAACTCAACATTGGCGTAACTAGCCATCTGACCCGGGGGGCCTAGGTGGCCTAGGTGTTATTTTGACTAGATATCTTTAAAAAAGTAAAACAAATGTTGTCTCCAAAAGGCACAAATAACAATTTTTTTGAACAAAAAGTTTCAGTGAGAAAGGAAGTACTACAATGTGATCTTGAGGACGTGTCCAAATATAATTGATGACCGTTTGTACCGCGCATGACCGTTTGTTGTTATGAAAAGGTACAATTGCTACATACACCTTAAGTATATGTGCGCATGTTGGGCGGGGCTTAAATACTTTATTTGTTGAGTATTTTTGAATCTTTAATTATCTGCTGCTAAAATTCTTGTTTTTGCGATGCTGTTGGGTGTTAACTTGCTCTATTTTTTTTTAACTTGTTAATTTTGCGTTTAGTGAGGTTCGAATTACTTTCCAGTGTTCAAATTATTGTTATTGCGTTGTGTTAACCTGTTCTGTTTGTTTATTGTGTTTGTTTTTGTGTTGCGTTGAAACTTGTTTTGTTTGTGTTTTAGTTTGTGTCGTGCCATTTGCGTGTGGAATATTTGTATGCAATTTGGACAACCAGTCCAAGAAAAACCCTTTAAATAAAAACAAATTTCATCGATTCCCGAAAAACTTTGATTTTTGCAAACAGTGGTTAAATGCCATAAAAAGAATAGACATTATTAACGTTAAGACCGCTTCTATTTCCTCTAAACATTTTCTGGACAGTGACTATAAGTTTAATTTAAAACACCAACTCTTAAACTACACTCCTAAATGTTATCAAGGACAGAAAGAATCTATTATCCATATTATAACACTTTCTTTAATATTAAGTTTAATAAAAACGCAGTATGTCCAGATATTTCTCTATTTTCTTTGATAATATTATTCGTGTATTCGCACGGCAACTACTCATCAAGTGACGTCATGCGCGGCACGAACCAAAACTCGTCCACGGGAGCATCCAGCCCGTGTTTTTATTTAAAGGGTTTTCTTGCATCCAAATATGCCACACCGCATTTTAATAAATGCAAATGGCACGACACAAACTAAAACACAAACAAAACAAATTAACGCAACACAAAAACAATAATAGACAAACAGAACATGTTAACACAACGTAATACATATATGGAAATTACAATAAAACCTATGAAAACAAAGTAAATAATAATGTTTAACTATTATTTTACAAACCTAATATTATCCATAATTATTTATATTAAATATTTAGATATAACAAAAACACAATTCTTCTGAAAAATTAGGACCCTAAATCAAAATTTCGCCATTTTAGGTTTTTAGGCAAAAACAAAAGGGTGTCAAACACTTTATTTTTTTAAGTTTAGGATTAATATCAAGGTCCCAAACAAATGCCTGAAATAGAAACGAAAAGGCATTAAAATCCGGTCCTTGCTCACAGGGGCGTGCTGGTCCGCCGGGACACCGGGAGAAATCCCGGTGGGCCGGTGGTCCGGAGGGCTAAGTGGGCCGGTGTGCCGGAGGGCTATGTAGGCAGCATGCCGCAGCACGTGGTCAATTAAAAACTTTTTTAGTTGAGTTATGTATAAATATCATAATTATTTTACACATACCATGCATGCCAGCCTGCCAGCTTTGTTTCTTTTTTCGAGATTGTATATTTTTTATAAGTTTCCTGAGCGATGACAATTTGTATTAGTTTTTATTTTAAGTGCAATGCAATATGTTTTAGCATTGTGTAAAATATTGTCTGGTTGTGTTTGTTGCCTGTTTTTTTTCAAGAATTTAATTTATACTTTATGTTATTAATTGAGGGGCCTAAAAGTAAAAGGGTTTAAGTGCATTTTTGTTAGTTCTGAGATAAATGGCTTTAAAGTTAACTTGAATTTTAAAATTCTAGAAAAGAGTTTAAAAAACTGTGAATATTTTAGTTTTGTTTAAAGACTAAAAAGGATTATAAAGAAAAAGGAATTTTTCAATTTCGCTTTTTTGTTAATTTTTTTTACAAAAATGTACTTGAATCGCATGTAAGACAAAATTTAGTGGTAAAATGATTTAAATGCAATTACTTTACTAGAACAAAACTTTAGTTTTTAAAATTTGGGTAATTAAGTACCCAGAAAACACACTAGTCCGGCCATGCAAGGGCACATAAATGGGCCATTGCATTATGTAATGGCCCAGTAATGCGCCGTTGCATGGCCGGAATAGTGTGTTTGCTGGGAAGTTTTACAACAAAAAGTATTATTCATAATCAAAATCTAATACAACGTTTTCTTCATCTGAATTAGCTGGTCTTGGTTGGGGTTGACCTAAATTGGATTTTTCTTGGCTCAATAGGGCTATGGTCTTAGTTTGTTTCTTTTTTTCTGATGGATCTCGATCGTACTCTATGTTTTTATAAAATAAGTGGTAAATTGGCGGAATATAGTCCAATAAGGTACCTAAGCGGCTTTTTTTTATTTTTTGCTGGAGTTACATGACCTTCTTCTTCTACTTATTCATTGATGTCAGGAACATAGTTACTATGTTGAATCTGGACCGATGCCATAATCGTAACGCTGGCCGATGTCGTTCCGACCCCGGTCACACTATGTCGAAACGAGCTACTTGTCAAGGCTTTAGCAGCATAGATAATAGCCTATGTTTAGCAGTAAAAGGTGCACTTAAATCGTTTTACCAAAGATATATTTTAAAATATTTTGCCAGGTTTTTAAAGACGATAAGAAATGGCGCCAGGGAATGTAAAATGTACTTATATAATTTTACCTCTAAGTTAGAATATTCTTTAGGTGTGATATTCTGCACTTAGACCATTTATTTAAAAAAGTGCACTTGTACCGTTTTACTTCCAAGCCCCTCAATTATTAATAAATGTTTGAAATTTTTTAACTCAAAAAAAAGTCAGAAAAATCGGCCAACTACACACGAAAAATTGTGGGTGAACAAAACCAAGTGGTTTTGTTCACCCCCCATTTTTCGTGTGTAGTTGGCCGATTTTTCTGAATTTCCCGGGCCGGTCTGATATAGCCAGCACGCCCCTGCTTGCTCATCACAGGCACAGGCACAGGTTCAGATCGATGTTTGATAAATCGTCACCTTAACATAACAAGGTTGTATGTTAAAAAAAACGAAAAATTTGTCTTTGTTTCTACAGGATTATACGTGGCCTACGCTTCACATACCACTTAAAAATAATTCTATAGAATGTATATTCTATCTATTTATATAGAGTTATTTTCAAGTTGTATGTTAAGGGTGAATTACATAAAACCTTGTAGAAGCATAAACTCAATTTTTTTGGTTTTTTAACATACAACCTTGTTATATTAGGGTAACGAAATGTTACCTTAAACAAAATTTCCATGGATACAACTAAAATATCTTCCGATGTGCATTTATCAACTCAAGATCGCAGTAAATCTTGGGATAAATTAGTAGGTCGTTCGTTTTCTTCGTCTTCTTCTCCAACCCTCTATAATTTCGTAAACAAATTGTCTTAGCACGTTGATTTTTTAAAATCACTTTCTGATATTTTGTATTTAACAGGTTCATCCTCAGAATATGTTGTTTTTCTTGGACGTACCCTTTGAGTACTATAGAATTAATTATATAATTACAATATATACTTAAAAATTAAATATGTAATATTTATTATTTCGCAGAAGCAATATTAGCCTGTGGGTACTTGGAGTGAGTCTTATCGTGTTGACATGGCGGATGACCTTGGGTTCGCAAAAGTCTCAAATCCGTCAAATCGCGCTATTACTCGCCGACCTAAAAATATACTACATAGGGTAAACAATGCTGATATTTATTGACATATTTAGAAGAATTTCTGGGCTAAAAATTCTATTATATTTGTTATAATATTATAGCGCCTCTCAAGGTCAACCGCCATGAGATATTAATATCACTCTACTCTTGAAATATAAGTAGTTTGTATTCGGTACAATTCACCTGTACATTTCACTTGTCTTGGCCCAGCTCTATTAGATCTATTTGTTTAATTTTAAATTTGATTTTTAGATTGTTTATTTATTTAATTGTTTTTTTAATGGATTTAAATTAAAAATCGAAAAAGAAAAATAAAAAGTTCAGAATGGAGTTCAATAAAAGCTACTAAGGTCATTATTGAAAGTACTGGTAGGGTTATCTCGTAAGTAATAATAAATTTAAAATTAAAATTAAACACATATTAATCTAGTTGACTGCAGTCGTGTAATGGTTAAATACTTTCAATACTAGCCAAATTATTGAATTCGTTACTTGACTGTAATGTTGAACTTTGACACATAACACTACTGCAGTCGACTGGGTTTATAGACATTTGTGTTTAATTTCAAATTTCATTATATGATTACTAAATCATTTTTTTTAAACGAGCCGCAATTTTAATTGATCTTAACATTGCTTATAAATTGATTTAACCTTCCTCAGGATGCAGCCGATCACATTGATATTATTGTTAAACAACAAAAATATTTTGTTAAACCATTTCTTGTAAACTGCGCGTATGTCACAGTATATTAAAGTAAATTAATTATGTTGTATTAAACATTTCGGCCAAATGCTTTATTGTCAATAATTTTTGTTTTATTTTAGACAAAATCTTAATTCTGATTTTACTGATAGTGCATTAGGATCAACCGATAAAAGCCCACTTCCGTATGGAAATTTTCAATTAAGAGATACTACTGTTCAATCAATTTTATCACATCCTCGTTATGGACCAAAGTAAGTTTATTTGTAGTTTTATTATTTACAGTAAAAAAGAATGGTAATAATTTGAATATTTTTTTCGAATTAAATATGTTATAATTTAACATGTGTATTCAATTTGAGTCTATGATGGAAACGGTCCTAAGCCCAATGCAATAAACAACGTGTAATAACAATAGAATGTTATTGTGCAACAAGGAACCAACCCTCAATGGTTCCTTTATTTCTTTGTTTATTTTAGGTTCAACGTTTAAATTTTATTACTGAATTGCTAATTTCGGTTGTTAACAAGGAAACTAAATAAAACTAGTGAGTATTGCCAATAAAGGCTCTCTATTAGAGTGTTAATGCAGCCATGCAGCTTGGAGCTTTGTTGAGATTTAATTAATATACACTATACATTTTGTATCGCTTAAAAATATTTTAAAAAGGTGGTCCTGCATGCCCCCATTACATTATTATATTTATATATTTTTTATTTTAAGGGTTGCCCTGTTGCATAACACCACGAAAGCCGGTTTGGTTTGTAATTATATATCATATATATATTTATATATATATATATATATATATATATATATATATATATATATATATATATATATACATATAAAATATAAACTATCCAAGTTTGCATAACACCACGAAAGCCGGTTTGGTTTGGATAGTTTATAAACTAGCTGGATAGTTTGTAAACTAGCCAAACTGTCAGCTATTTTAATTGAAAACATATTTTCAACTAAATTAGCGGCTAGTTTACAAAATAGCCAAGGATCTTGGCTAATTTACTTGAAATTATCAGGGAAACTAAAATAGCTGGATAGTTTGTATACTATCCAATTCAGTTTGGCTAATATGAAAACCAAAATTTCTAGTAACACAAAATAGCCAAGCTTTAGCTAATTTGTAAACTAACCAACCAACCCTCTGGCTAATTTATTAAAAAAGTGAGGTTACGGCATTGTTTTTCGTTTTGCCTGCTTTGTTTTGTGCATTTTAAAGTTTTTGAAATGAATCATAGGCAAAATTTTAACGCTTCCTTGTTGGAAAACTCAACAACACAACCCTACCGACCCCGCCCCATTGCCCCCCCCCCCGCCCCATTGGTCAAATGGTCAAAAATGAGAGAAAAAATCTCAAACCAACCCAAACTCAACAACACAACCCAACCGACCCCGCCCCATTGGGCCCCCCCGCCCCATTGAGCAAAAAACCCAACTAAAATGGGCAATAGCCCGAGAATTAGTTGGTTAGTTTACAAACTAGCTAAAGCTTGGCTATTTTGTGTTACTAGAAATTTTGGTTTTCATATTAGCCAAATTGAATTGGATAGTATACAAACTATCCAGCTATTTTAGTTTCCCTATTAATTTCAAGTAAATTAGCCAAGATCCTTGGTTATTTTATAAACTAGCCGCTAATTTAGTTGAAAATACATTTTCAATTAAAATAGCTGACAGTTTGGCTAGTTTATAAACTATCCAGCTAGTTTATAAACTATCCAAGTTTGCTCATTAGCCGTAATATATATATATATATATATATATATATATATATATTAGGGTGGCCCAAAAAAAAAGAATATTTTTTTTCTTCTCGTCTCTTGTAAAAATATGTTAGTTTATCATGCTGTAAGGGCCCTTTTAAAATATTAGCTCGATTAAAAATTTTGTAGGGGTCGCTCAAGATTTTTAAAAATTTTCAAAATCGTCAAAAATTGAATTTTTGTTTTATTTTAATTCTTTTTCTCGTTTCGATATTATTTTTTAGGTTGAAAATAATAAAAAATTTGTAAATTTTAAATCAATATTTTGATTTCTAAAGGTTCGTTGATATTTATATTCAGAGGTCGCTCGAAAACATTCAAAATACTCTACTTTGAAAGTTAAAATAATCTTGAGCGACATTTAGAAATTAAAATATCGATTTGAAATTTTCAGAATCATTATTATTTTTAAATAAAAAAATAATATCGAAACGAGAAAAAAAATTAAAATAAAAAAAATCCAATTTTTGACGATTTTGGAAATTTTTAAAAATCTTGAGCGACCCCTAAAAAATTTTTAATGGTGCTGATCTTTTGACAGGGCTCTTAAAACATGACAAACCAACATATTTTCACAAGAGACGAGAAGAAAAAAATATTCTTTTTTTTGGGCCACCCTAATATATATACATATATAAGAGAGGCCAGAACCAACATTAAAAATAATAATAAAGGACCAATTAGGTTAAGGGTTAGGTACCTAATCTTTTTTAATCAATATTCATTTCTACTAAAAATCATTACCTACATTATAATACTTACTTTATAATACATAAAATATTCTTTTTAGTATTAAAAAAAGATTGTTCTTCCAAGTGGGAATTTATTGTGCCTCATCTACTTAAGGACGTCGATCCGCTACTGCTACATAAAGAATTTGCCTTTAGAAAAAAGAAATGCACAATATTTTTCTAAAACTACAAATAAAAAGGTCGTGGAAAAAAAAAAGAATTTGCCTTTAGAAAAAAGAAATGCACAATATTTTTCTAAAACTACAAATAAAAAGGTCGTGGAAATGTTTAAATAGTCATACCATGTCAAATGTGTCATTAACTTTTTATTGATTTTTTGGAAAATAATGATAATTGTTAAAATCTGATAAATAAATAAAAATAGCTATTTACATACCATGGGAGGAAAATAGTGCTTTTCCTCACGCGAATAGTTTGATGCCCGACGCGAAGCGAAGGGCATTAAATATTCAAGGGAGGAAACAAATTTTCCTCCTGAGGTATGTATATAGTTTTTTCTATTACCTTTTAACGATTTTAAGACATTTTAAGCGTTCCGGTTCCTTTAACTAATCCGGTAGGGGGCTATAAAATTATGACAAAATATTAAGTAGGTGTTGCGTCGCCGACGTTATGTTGACAACGCTTTGTTGCTATGGTATATTTGGTAATACAAACATAACAGTTGTTATAAGCTGTCAGAATTTTTATCATAAATTTGAAATTCTTCCTACGTTTTGAAAATTAATTCTAACGAAGAAGACCTGCCGCAAGATCTCGCTGAAGAGGCAAGAATAGTTGCAATTAATTTCCTTCCTTAAAAATCGAAAGAGCAATATAAACATAAATATAGTGTTTTCAAAGAATGATTGGACAAGCGCGGAGTAAATCTTTTTCCTACAAAATCAAATAGGCTAGACAAGGTACAAAAACTCTTGCTAATGTAAAATTGTTAATAGAAAAAGAGAAAGGAATTTTTTTCCTCCTGGGGAGGAAAAGAGGCATTTTCCTCCCTCGCTCGGGGGTGGAAAAATAAGTTTTCCAGTAAGGTGGTAGAAAAAATACTTTAATTTACACTTTTCATTTTATTTTACATCATTTAAAATAAAAATTGATAACTCACGACTCGTTTTGCAATAATCCGATGAAATTTTTTTGACAGTTGTAAAATGTAAATGTTTTTTTATAAGAATTATATAAATAATTTTAATTATTTATACCTTCTAGAATAAACATTGCCTTAAAAATGTTATAAAAAGTACTAAGCCTTAAAAATTTTCCAAAAAGAATTGTTATTTCTAGTAGAAATTTTCTACACTAACAGTCGGTATAGCATTTTTTGTCGCGCTTGTGACCTTAGTAATTGCCCTAAAGCCTTGTTTTTTTTCATTATATTCAGAAATAAATGGTAATATAATTTATGTTTATTATATTTTGATAAACTTAAAAAAATACATTATTTTATTACACTTTGTAGAAAAATAATCATTTTGCTCTTATTAATAAACGTAAAGCCTTGTTTATTTAATAAATAAATAGGCTTTGCTGTAAAACAGACAAAAATGGTTTATGACTATTAGATATTTTATATGGAGCGAAACTTATTTTTTTATTATTCTTAAAAAAAAACAATTACTCTGCCCTTAATTTATATTTTTATTTGAAATAATAAACAAGTATTATTTACCTTAAAAATGGTACTTTACCTTAACCCTTATGTGCATAGAGAATAAATATACTGATACCGCACAGGTAGGTACAATTGTACCTTATACTAGAAAACATGTTTTTGTTTTGCGAAAGCAAGTTTTTGGAATTGTTTAATGTTTTGTGTTTTGGTTAGTATATCTCTCTAATTAATTAAAAGCTTTTAAATAAAAAAATTTATATAAAAAAATAGGCGTAGGCCGTTTTGTGGAATTGTTTATTTTGGTTTAAATTCAACGCATTGAAATATTTTAGTATTGATTCGGTTTTATAAAGTGTTTGAAGACATGGAGGGCCAAAGGGAATTATGTCGTCATCACATAGCCGAAGAACTTTTTATCAAGATTTAGAACGCAGCCTCGCAATGGGTAATATTGAAAAACGCTCGCAAATGCCAAATGTTGTAAACAAATTTTCTACCAAAAATTCACTAGAATCCATGATGGGGCATCCACTGGTACCATCAGGGTCATCATTTGCTACGGAAAATAAACCTCAAGAATCTAAAGGCCCTAAACCAGTAGTGGGATCATGCTATATTTGCCGAAACAAAAATAAAAAGCAAAGAAAAACCAGAAAATGTTGCAGAGTTTGCAAAATTCCCAATATGTGATGAATATGCTCAAACCATCACAAAATGTTTCACTTCTGAACTGTAATTATATATATATATATATATATATATATATTTGTGAATTTATTGTTGTTTTTATTTCCCCCACCCCTATTAATTTTCAACTTAAACACATATAGGTACGAATGTACCTATCCGTGCTTAAATGGGATAATAAGTTTGGGATTAAAATAAAAAATTTCTACGTAAGGTAAATGTTATAATTTATACATAAAAGGCATTATCTTTCCTTATTTTAAGATGTCATAAAACATGTACCATTTTTAAATTAAATTAAATAAGTTACTGCATAACAAAAATTAAAAAGGTACACCTGTACCTTTCCGTGTACATAAGGGTTAAAGAATTATCATTAGGTTTTTATTACTGTAAACTATGTTTATCTCGAGGTAGTAAA